TGTATTTGACAGCCCTTCAACGGTGCTGGCGGCGGCCGAGGGAGGTGGGGTGTGTGCCAATACCGGGGCTTCGTGTCATTAGTCAATGCGCACACAAGTATACTTATATATATATACATGCGTGTGTGTATATGCTGTTCACAAAACTTGAGTGACAATCCGCCCCTTCCCTTTTGGCAGGGCGAGAAAATTTAAAACCCGAACCGCGTACGCCACTATATATGTATATATAGTATATACTATACCACCACCACTGCTGCTATGCTGTACTGTTGTAAACGCACTTTTACAACATTCGAAATGAACATACAAAAGGAATTCTCTTAACCGAAGGGTCTTTGTTGTTGTTGTTGTTTTTTTTTTACACTCATTTCGACACTAATGACATTTGTGCAACCAAATTTTTGGCGTGCTTTTACGCCCGACTTTACTTCAGTAGTTAATACTTTTAAACGTTTTAGCGGCCGTCGCAGCCTCAAGACGAATAATTAGATGTGGCCGTACGGCGGTGATGGATTATTTTTATTATAATTTTGTACACCTACCTACTGTATACTGATTTATATTATACTGAATGGGACCCCCTAAGCAAACGGGCGGGGGAGAACAACCCTCGCAGTCGATAACCGTTTCTACTTTTGTATTAACCGCGGCCAAGAAATTTTCATATTTACATCATTTACAATGTACGCGTCGCGTGCTGTCGAAGCGCTACACAGGGTGCGACTACAACAGCCGGACCGTCACCATATAACTATTAACTCTATATATATATATATATGTGTGTGTGTGTGTGTACCATATCGATAGGCTGTGATCTTGCCCCTGCGATCGGTTTGCCAATATTTTTATGGTATATATTAAAATTTAAAACCGCTATTCGTGTACTATGCTTGTGTGTGTGTGTAAGGTATACATTTGATAGGCCGGGTTGGGTTCAAGGGTAAAGTCTCAGAGACTTAAACGAATGTGTATGTTTTTGTTGCGGTATACTACCATTTCGAATATATAGTGTTCAGCGACGCCAATTTTTTTTTTAAACTCTAAGACAATGTGTGAAAAACGTTGAAACATAATTTTATGATTTAATTAGAGACGATCGCAAAATATAATTAATTTTAAATCAAAATATTTGTCGGCCATAAACAGTAAACGTATATATTTTAACAACATGTTCACTGTTTGTTGATGCTATTTATGCGAGTTAGGTATAAAAGCAACATGTGATATTTTGTAAATATCAATTTGACTACATTAATAAAATCAATTTTTTTTTATACAAATATCAGGATAGACTATTGCTCTAATTTTTTTTTATAAAACTTAAATAATGCGTACAGATCTGATGGATTTGCTAATGATACACGGCCTGCCACAGAATCTAAACATTAGAATAAAAAATCATTTTTTAATGGTTTTGTTTACGTACACACACGGTAACGATTTATAACAATTTCGGGTTATATGCATGACGTGCGTGTGGCCGTTTAAAAGCGATCATAAGTCATTGTTATTCGTCGGCATAGTTGTATTAATATTGTTATTATATTAAATTATATATATATATATATATATATATATATATACATTTATTTGCTCAGGGTGCTCAAAAAAACAAGGGGCAGCTGATTCGCCATGCAGGGTGGTAGGTTTAGATTGTACCACCACAGAGTCGTATACTCTATAACCCGACGCGATCCGGTCACGGTGTTTCCGCAGGGATAGTGTCTGACTTCGCAAAACCATTAAGGAGATAACGTCCCTCAATGTATGTGCAACACCATTGTTCTCCCAGTGTAAACATATCGTACAATATAAATGAATACGACGATTGTAAATAATTGTTTTTTGCAAATGTTTAGGTTTTTGTCAAATTAAAACACTACCCGTTTATCATATATCATACTTAGTATTATACAAAAAAAGATTCTGTTGTTTAGATACATAATATAACTAAAATGACCAAATAAAAAATGAGCTGCCCAATATCACAGAAAAAACCCATAGTTTGTCTAATTAAATTTTTAATAAAATCAACTGTCTGTTTGATTTTTTAAAAACCAAGCCTTGTTCAATGTTTATGTAGTATTACAGTTATAATTATTTTTGACCGTAACTATCGAACGCTGTCGTCTATGGTATAATAAGTAAGATTTATTTTAAATTTGATGTAACCAAAATACGTTAGCCATTTTGCTACACGTTAGTAACACATAACCGACTTACAGTAAACAGATTAGAGTGTATATATATATGTATGTATATTATATTTAAGATTTATACAGTGGCCGTCGGGTCTTGTCGTGAAAGCATATTCACGCGAATGTTTAAACTAATTGTGTTCGGTCGAGTGGCAAAACTTGTATAATACAGCCAATGAGTTTTTAATGTTGGTCGGCCTATGAAACATACCATCACTTTTTTCTAATGCGGGGCAAAGAGGTATATAATATATAATAATATTATATGTATAACGATTGTACTTGCCGCCATAACGATGACGACGATGACACTGTGAAATTCAGCCATCACACTGTGTGACCCACATGCATGCCCTAAACTGTAGATCCGCCCTTATGTGTATATATTTGGTTTTTTATATTATTGCAATTCCTTAGTGGTTTAAGCAAAATGCTATTTTTTTTTTAACGTTTTACCTAAACAATATAATTAGCGTCATTTGGGTGTAACTATAATCACGAGTAGGGAAAAATTATTTCCATTTAATAATTTGACATATTAATCAAGGTGGTGAGAATCAAAATGGTGTTAAAGATTTTACAAAATGAAAATTGCAATGTGTTCGATGGTTTGTTTCAATACCCGTCTCAAAAGTGTATCCAAAAAATTACAAACACAAACCCAGATTAAATAAGGTCTACCAAATATTAGGTTATAATTAAATCTATATATAAAAAAAAGTCACTTGTATTCTTTCGGTTTTCATCATTCCAGTTTTAAGATGTTATGTGTTACACAGTTAACAATTCAGTAAAACACAATTTTTTTTATTTATTTCTCAAAAAAAAAATCTGCTTTTACATTTGTCCCATTTGTTAACTCACCTTACTCTAATTAACTACAAGGCAAGGCATTAACAAGTTAATAAGTTTAAGTTATTAATTTTACTTCACTTACTCTGCTAATATTAACGTTAGAATAACGTTTTTTTTTAAATTTTACACAGTTGTTGGATCTTTTGTATTCATATAAACATCATTAAAACTTATTTACTTATTAGTAAAAAATAGTTTAGCAATATTAATGAGAGAAAAAACGTTTTTTCAATGGTTTATGGTTAAACAATTTTTTTTAAATTTATTTAATTTCATCATTGCTGTCTGAGCCTTTTAAAGTTATTAAATATGAAGTATTATTTATGCGTTAGCACAAAAAAACGTGGTAAAATTAATGTGTTAGCTCAAAGCTAGTATTATTATCTAACCTGAGCAGTTTTTAAGTTGATATAAAATCGTGTTTCCTTTAAAATATATTAACGAGTAAATAAAGGATAAATTAAATGTTTTGATTAGAAAAATGAAATAAACCAAGTAAATTTTGAAAGCATAGGAATATTGGAAAAATATCATTCGAGTTACTAAGCTAGTATTAAGCTAACCATTTACCTCGACTTGCCTTTTAAATATTATTGACTTAACATGCATGTATCGTTCTATTAATGTTAATGTTCTACAACATAGAAAATATTATACTTCCTAATACCGTGTGATTGTTTTCTAGATGAGCGTTAATCAAAGTCCCAAGGTATAATATTATGTTAAGTAGCTGAATGCAGAATTAGTGACTACGGTAAGAGACTTGAGCGATACTGACACACATTACCTGGGAGATCACGGTACGCACAACTGTGGTGCAGCTGCCGGTTTGAATACAACAATATGGTCACGCAACAGCGGGAGAGCACATAATATATGTGTGTATATATTTTATAGATTATGTGTACTTGTAGAATATACACCCTGTATACGACTATAATGTTGTCGTTCTCAGTATTGACAGAAAACTGATATATTATTATAAGTACAAAAAATAAAAATAAAAATATTTAGAAACTGTAAAACAACGTCACACGTTCGGATATTATTTTGTTTAATTGTTTTTTATTATTAAAAGCACACAAACACACTTAAATGGTTATAAATAAATATAAATATAATATATCTCACAAAATACAACATAATTTTGATTTTTTTTTTTTTTAAATAGTAAACGAAAAATAAAAACTACATATTTTGTAGGCAAAACATAGTTTTCATATAATCTTACATGATGACTTTAGTCCGTTTCACGTGCATTGTACAGTAGAACATTATGATAGTTTCTAGGATGGATGCCGGGCCTTAATATTTTGGCCTTTATCGATGACAAACGTCGGACAAATTGACTAGACATTTTTTAAGCACCATGCAGTTATGATGGGTTTATGTGAGTACAAAGAGCGCGGCCGTGTATCAATAACCGTGCGCTTGCAGAGGCGGTGGACAGTAGTCAGATACCTAAAAGCAACACACGCAAACCTTATTAGTGACCCAATAACAATATAATATTATCATTAATAAACTGAGTGTTATGACCTAACCTATAATGACGTTCTACAACATCGTTAAGATGTGTAAAAAAAAAATCACTCAAAGAACTACAAGACAAATATTCGCTCAAAATAATTTCACTTTACTTTTCTAAAATAATAAAAATCTTCACTCTTATTAATAGAAAACTTAATTTCTTAAGGTAAATAAAATACCTTAAACGGTTCATTTGCTCATGCTTTAATATGTGTTTTTACTTCAGCCCTTTTCTAGTTGTTTCTGGCCAATTACTTTACTCCCTAACCTTTGCTCGCTTACACCCTCATACCCTTGTCACTTATCTCTTACCAAATTTCTACGACTACCTTTCTTAACTTAAGATTTTATTAAAATTTAGTTAAGGTACTCACTTGAGATTCTAGAGAGTGGTGGTGATGGCCAATCGGTAATCTATGGAACTGATCCGGGTGATCGTACTGGAAAACAATAAAAAAACAGACATTTGAAGATCATTTGAACTTTTCTTGGACACGCATATGCAATTACTCACGTCGTTGTAAAAGTTTTGATGGAAGTCGGCGGTAACTGTGGGCGACCACTGACCACTGGCAAGTACGTCGAAGTTACCCCCGTAACCGCCGGCGTAGACTTCTTCTTGCTTGTTCGGTTGCATCGCGGGATAGGCGTATCCTTCGCCTTGAGCTAAGTTGTTGTCGACGACCGGATATCCTGAGACGACCGGTTCGCAGACAAAGCCGCCTTCGGGGAATCCGGCCAAGTCGGTTTGCGGCGGCAGTTCTTTGTGGGATTTCTTCGCCTTCATCCGTCTGTTCTGAAACCATATCTTGATCTGTCGCTCGCTCAGGTTCAGCTCGGCCGACATTTGCTGCCGCTTGCTGCGCACAATGTACTTGGACGTGCGGAAAACGGTTTCCAGCACTGCCGTCTGGTACTTTGAGTACGTCTGCCTCGACCTCTTGCCTGAAAAATCAACTTATATGGTTATATATACCGGCAACCACCCGTGCACCGTCTATCGTGCGAACGCTGGAACTTACCTTTGGCGTCCAGAGGAGCTTCGACGGCGGAGTCTTCGACGGCCTGACACGGTTGCATACTTTGGCTCCAGCCGTGGTACATGGTAGCGGACATGCGTATGGTCGCTGGTCGGATTCCGAAAACCGACTAACCTATAAATCAGTGAGCCGCGCGTACTTGGTGACCCTAAGCCCCGCGGGGTCCGGGGTCCGGCCAACACTATACAGGGGCGTAGGGGTAGATCTATGCGTGTGCCGGCACACGAGGGGCTTGGGGGGGAGGGAACACAATGAACTCGAAAAACAGAAATCGTGTGTGTCTCTCCTTTTGTCACCGGGGTCGGTGTCACCCTTCGCGGGCCATGTGTCCCCCGTTAAACGCTCGTGACTCCCACTGTATGTTTGCTATTTATCTGCCGCCTCCCGGTGCGGTACACACGCGCATACATTGCCGTATATTATTATATAATAGGGGAGAGTGCGAATTTTCTAGCAAACACACAATATGTGAGTGATTCATAATAATTTATTATATGGGCGATATTGTAAAAATTTTGTTCGAACGGCCATACTGCGACGTGCACGCTTCGAGTAACCGAACGGAATGGATTTCACGCGGAAAAGTCCACCTCTCCAAGTGCAACAACCACCCTGTACCGCATTCGCTCGGTTAAATAGATCACACACGAGACGTATACAGCTGTTAGTTTTAGTGGCCGAGTGTCCGGCATGGGCTTGGGATTCTAAAAACTATAAAACTTAAAATTAGTGCTACAAATCAATCATAAAAAAAAAAAATGTAGGTATTTTAAAAAACCTTTAAGTTTTAAGGTTTTTAGTATCCCAAGTCCCCTCCCCCCGATCTCCGTCAATGGATCTTCGTTTGATCAAGACGCGATAATATTTCGATTGTGAATGAAGACATTTCAAAACTGTACAGATTGTATACGAGTTGTGACTTTGTTTTAATACAATGGGGGGCAATTCCGGGCACTTCTTCGAAGCAATAATTCATGTATAATACACCGACGGCGCACACCCCACTGAAACCAATTTGTTAAACGATGAAAATAATGCACTTATGAGCGCGCATAAATCTTTATTTTCTTCGCCTCAGACTCGGTTATAGCTGCAGTGCGGCGGTACCTGTTCTTGTGTGTATACAATATACAATAATAGCTATTTAAATGATTGCACTCGATTGAAATTAATAGAGTAAACAAAAACACACCGCATCCGTAGCTACTGTGCCGTTTAAAATATAGTATAGTAATCTCGTTAATAATATATAGATACTACACCCTCAAGTAGAAATAATCACGGTGTCACGTGTACCTACTTGTCCTATTTTAAAGAAGCATCACGACACAATATATATTATAATAGCTTGCATGTTTTGTATTGATATAATTATAATATTCACATTTTGATCGCTAAAATATCAGACGTGTTGCGTTTTCTTTGCTTGCACCAAAAAAAAAAGGCAATATAGCTGTTACTGAAAAATACAAAATGTCCTGTCTTATGTTTTGGGTTTCAGCGGCTGGAAGTGTGTAAAACGAATTACTTACAAACTTGATACTACAATTTCGGTTATTTGTTTTCACCGAATCGGTACCGATCACCGCCGACATAAGTACCGGAGTGCGAGGGCGGTTTTTTTGGATACAAGCCACATGCGGAAATAAGTCAGGGGTCAAGTTCAATTACACGTTTCGTGTATTTATGTATATTTTATAATTGCCGGACGAGGGTCTAACTCCGTGGCACCCTTTTTACAACGACTCCGCAGCTTCGAGTCTCTATATACAGGGTACCAAAATTGTTGACTTTGGGAATGAAATATGGTTTTCAAACATACAGCAAAATTTGTTCGTGAAATATATTTTTATGTTAGATGCATCAGTGTTATTAAATATTGGCTTTGAATTGTATTATGGTATATGTTTAACTTAGATCTATAATAATATAAAATATTGATGATGATACTTAATAGGAATAGAGCTGTTATAGAGCGCCCGAATAAAAATACTATGCACTCGTTATTGCTATGGTTAATATAAATCAAGACATTTGTTTCGCCAACGCCGTCCGTTTAATACTGATCCTATAAGGCGTTCTCTAAGAATTATTATCCAGCGCGTTCCCCTTTCGGTGTCGACCGAAATGGCTGTAATTAAATGGTACGTACACGATTAGTTTCGTTTATGTAAATCTGTCGTTGCGGACTTAAAGGAAATCTCTATGCAACAGTTGTCGGTCCGTAGGGATTTTTTACGTACAAACCAGAATGACATAAACGTTGTATGGCTTTACCGACACATAATATAATATAATCGCATGTTCTTAAAAAATTCAAATCTAACAATGCAATAATCAATAGTTATAACATTTAAATACAAAATATTATATTCTGCTACTTAGACAATTTATACACATAGCATAGCGCGTTAACCATTACGTTGTAGTAGGTGATAGATAACGTTGAACTCCTCGAAATAATAATATAATATAAGAAGGTCGGTAAGGTGAGATGTCGACGGTAAGGAACATCTGGTGGACAGTGATAATAATATAATAACAATAATAATAATATGCGTTGTTGTCCACGTGTGCATCGGCATTGTATTAAAAATAATATTTTCTTATTATATTATGTACATTATGCAACCACCTTCACTGGACGTATGACACATTATAATAATATTCACGTTGTCGTTAAAACCCAAAAAAATGATACATTGCCCCTGTCTTCTTCGGTTTGTACATAATTGATGCGATTAAACGAAATTCGAATGTACAGCTGTGCAATTGAGCAATGACTGCCTAATGCGCACTAGTCACCACTAAGTAGTGGTATGCAAAATTAATAAACGTGTCCAGTCTACATAAGTGTTGTAGCACTAAGCAATCATGAAGATATAGTATTATAATATATTATACTAGTGAGTACTAAAATATGAAATTATATTTTTCCTATACATACTGCACTAGGGTTAAAAACAGAACTCTAAATTATAAAAATGTCTTATTGCTACAACTTTGTTTTTTTTATAAACAAATAAGTGTAAAATATTTATGTCTTTATTCATAGCATAATGACTTATATTATATGACCTTAACTTATTGACTACAATAATATTCTATTACATAACACTTATAAATTTTTTGGTGTTGGTTGACATGATTTTTTTTCCCTCTGAATAATCAAATGTCGCTCAACTCAAAACCAATCACGGCTACCGCACATATTACTATTCGGTTATGTAGTTTGAGAACAAAATATTATACAATGCAAAGGCGGGTTTGGCCGGAAAACGAATATCTAGCCAGACCTAATCGCGCGTTAAGTCCACCACGCCATATGTGGTGTAAATTTTGCGAAAAATCAAATAGACCGAACGAACAAACCTTTGAGCAGCACATGGCGGATTTTTTTCTACAATAAAATATGCATCTACATATATTATTACATTTATATCTATATTGTTGTAAGGCAACGTCCGCGGTCACCCCGGTCGGGTTTAGTTTGATGTTTTTTTTTTTTTTGGATTTGTCGAGAAAAAAATTCACCCCAAAAAAAAAAATATTATATTCTACAAAACTTAGGTTGGGACAAAAAAAAAATACACACACACACAATTACTATTGTTAATACTATACCGCGGTTAGGTTATTGCCATCCGAGAGGCGACGGTCGGATTTTGCCAAGCGTGTGCAGCAATCAATTTATCATCGGACGTGCGGGCAACTGCATTGGCCTTATGTATGTAAGTGTGTGTGTGTGTGTGTGCGCCTCATACACAATTGTCAATGCGGTATCTAAATTGCGTTTCATTTGTAAATAAAAAAAAAAACTATTAACGCTGTAAAAAAATTATATTTAAAGGAACGATTTAAAATATATACTATTTGTAATGATTTTGAATTTTTTGAAATAGAGAAAAACCTTTTTTTTTTATTAATAATACTAGGTATATTATATATATATATATTATATATACCTAATAATGTATATTAGTATATTTATATAATACTCTTCGGTAGCCTAAACGTTTCCCGTGTACCAGTTCCGACCTTACATGTATTATGTGTTATATATCATGCACCGACTTCGCGGCGGGCGGTGCATCATTTGTGCATTACTTGCGTTATAATATTTGAAAAAAGGTCGTTTTTTATATTATTCTCTCAAAACCGCAGTAGCTCTTAAATTCTTTTTTCTGGTAAACATATTTTATTTCTTCCTTGTACGCGCCAGTTTGCCTTTTATTTGTATTTTATTTTTACCCGGTAGTCGATTGTCGAACAAAATTAAATTGATTTACACCCATCAACGCTAACGATCCGACGGCTTTACATCTCACTATAATAATATCCTATAAAAAATAGTTTGTATTATAAAAAAAACTCATCGGAAAAAATACTTTAACAAGTCGAAAACACATAATGTTACCATTATAATGACAATTTTTATAACATTTTAATAATACACTATATATAATAATATGACTAATCTCGATACATTTTTTAATTAAATCTACCTAACCTAACTTATTCTAACGTCTAATCGCTTTTTGAAGTTTACACATTCGATTCAAATGATTAGGCATATCTGGATTCAAAAACATCACACTCATGTGTAATCAGATCGGCTGACCTCGATAGTCTTTTAATTTTATACACAACTCAAAAGTCTAATAAGTTATGTATATTATAATCACATAAAAGAAGTTACTAAAATATAGTAAAATTATATTATTGTAACAATTATTGGTGTCTGGCTATTATAGGTACTAAAAATTTAAATGCCAAACTGCATCTGATAGAAATTTAAATAACATTTTTTGTTAAAACCACACTGCGTTACTATTTTTAACCATTAATAGAAGCGAGGATATGAATGGTTATAAATTAGTAAATACAGAATCATAGGTTTTATTGTTTAACGCTTAATTATTTTATTCAACCCTTTTTTAAAAAATTGAATAAATTATTATATTCGTAAACACAAATTAGCACACTAGCTATATATATTAGGTAATAACTAATAATAGTATGATGTTTAAAAAAAAATTTTCAAACACGATGAAAAAAAAAGTAATATTGCCAAAGTATGTTTG